GCTGGGGTGTCACTTCCAGAAAGACTCGAAAGCTCGATCCTAGAAAATTAACAAAACATCTGCTTTTATACAGGTGCTCACACTTGCTGAATCATTTAATCAGGTGCACTATTTACCCTCTTAATTCATATGGAAGAAGTAAGAGTGTACTTAGCTTTCACAGTGAAAACTGTCTTTTTCACATGACTGCATATACCAGTCATTGAAATAAATCTGACTGGTCATGAACTTTTGTTTGTATGATCAATTAATGTTGGATCATGACACAGCATGCTGCCAAATGCTGAGTCAATAAATCACACTTCTCTTTTTGTCATTGCAACAGAAGGAAGTGCAACAACTTTTATATTAGTTGAAGATCAGTGAAGATGCACAGGATACACTTTTGCTCTTTCCTGTGGGATGACTCATCATCGTGTAAACATGTTTGTGGTCTCACGGTATCAGATTCAGATTTACTTGTGGGTAAAAGAATTCAAAATCTTGATATTATATCAATATGTATTTTAAAAAGAATGAGAAAAACATGGTATGGTGCAAATGAACCTTTAACTGTTTACTGTGTGCTAGGTTTTTTTTATATAGTTAAAAAAAAAAAGAAGAAGTTGGGATGGACAGTCAGTATGCAAGCATACAACAACAACCATGACTCTACTTCATGTGCTGGATTATTTCTGATATTGTGTTAATAAAATGACAGCTTTGATTAAAATCAATAGCCCAATTCTTTTCAACGCAGACTAAATCAGGCTCGTCAATTATGCCCCAACTTGATGGACAAAGAAAATGCAGCTCTTCATTTTCAGTCCGATTAATGTGTTACTACCAATGTAATTAGGAATGGTTACTAACTAACTGCACAAAAAGATGACACCACTGTTGTACTTTAACTAGTTTGATCTTAGGTAAAAATGCACATTTAACAACCGCTAACACTGAGTACACTACACCCTATCAGCAGATGAGCGCAGAGGTTTCAGATGCTCATCTGTAAACCTCGATAGAGTTTCAAAGGTCAAATTTCCAGATGCAACTCTTTTATCACCGTTGCACGGTTGTGCACGGGGGGAAGCATTTTTATCTTTTTGGCAAACCTAACAGGATCTAACATTGCAACTTATAGACTTACAAAATTGTGACCAACACCCTGTCAAGTCCATTGTCCATATGTTCACACTGCATGATAAGATCTGCATGATAAAAATCTGAACTCAAAGCAGCACAATCGTAAAGGAAATGCTACTGCTCTAAAACAACAGCTTTTCTTTTGCAATGTTGACATATTTTCCTTTTGTTGTGAGTTTGCACAGACATGCCCTTTAACCAGGTGTAAATCTGTACTCAGATTATACTCGGATATACTTGGATTATACATCACGCTCCCTTATTCACCGTCAATGTCCACAGTAAGTCATTCATTTGTAGAGACTGATTCAGTACAACCAACATCTGCATGAGAAGGTTGAAAGAAGAAAAAGTGGTTTTCAGAAATACAAAGTACTGGTGATTCAGGATTGGAAAGGTTTTAAAAATGTCATTTAAAAACTGACATTGGAGAACGGAGACTCTAATAGTTGATCTAGTAGGTGCTCATCAGTGGGAACAGGTTAAAGTATAAACAACAGGAATGCTATTATACTTGTTAATAAATGATGCTGAAAACCACCGAAAAAGACTCTTCTACTGTGGATAGTGTTATTTGTCTAAATGTTCTGGGAATTAATTCATAATTCAGATGAACACAGAGCGACTTATTTTACTTAGATTTATAGGATGTGGGTTTTGAACATATTTAAACTTTCTATTTAAAAAAGACACTTGTGTAGAAGTTTATTGATAGCAAAGTGGCATCTGATTATTTTAAGGTCTTTAAGACAAACAGCAAATTTAACAAAAACCAAAAAAAAAGAGTCAGGTAATGACATTTTTTTTTAAAACTGCAATATTTACGCACACATTTAGTTGCCGCATGTATCATAAAGTTAGATGACCTGGGCTCAAAATAGAAGTTATACCTGTGACACATCTCTAACTCTACGCTCCCATAAATGCCAATAAATCTCTCATTCACTGCTCCTCACACTCATCACATGTATCGCTGCAGAGAGTGTTTACTTCACCTGACAGTCCTCCCATGGCTCCAGTCCAAGGCTGATTGTACACGAAGTTCCACACCAGAAAGGCTGAAAAGCCCACGATCGTACCAAACGAAGCATAGGCGATCCTCATGTACGTCTTATTGATACCCATGATTGCAAATTTAAAGTTAATAATAAAAAAATAACAGGCTGTGTGGGGAGAAGCAGTCGCGGGCTGGGCTGGAGGAGAGCCGAGTGTCTGTGAGAGCGACAGCAGCAGCAGCAGGAGGTAAGAGCTGGTAATAATAAAATATCTACCTGACAAAAAAAAGGTCACAGTGTGACTAAAAAAACGCGTGTGCTCTGCTGGCTAAGGGTTAATGTGGTTACTGTGAAACATGACAGCGCGTTTCTGATGAGGGATGTCCTATCCAGCTGCAAAAACACACAGCCTTGCGTTACGTCATCAAGAAATCTGATCAAGGTGGGTGGACACAGCAACCCCTACAGGACCACAGAGGAAATTATCTACCTCAGAGCTCTGTGTGTGTGTGTGTGTGTGTGTGTGTGTGTGTAAAATAACAGCTGGACGGATTAAAACCCTTTTTAATTTGCATGTTGGATTCATAGATGATGAATGACAAATGTATTTTTATTTTATCTGGGCAGATCATAAGTGAAGAAAATAAGAAAATGATCCAGCATGATTTACATGGAGGTTTTGAATAAAATAACGTGCTTCTTGGGGCTGTTATATTAAAATTTTATTTGATCTGTGTACTGCATTTGAAACAGATGGCCACATTGTCCATAGAAACTGCTGGTGTTGTTACAAAGGCTCCTGTCTCGTCTTCATAGGAGAATTCTCCCCATCCTCAGCCATCCTTCATGGGGTCTTTCCCGTATTCTCAATCTAAATGCCATCCCTGGGTCAAGATAATCCATTTATACAGTCATGTGAAAAAGAAAGTTGTCACTTTCTAAATCGTCTTGTAAAACACTCAGTAGGCTCTCATTGCTTTCATGGGAATTAAGTGGCTAAATAGGTGTTGCTCATCAAAATAGGATCATGCAATGGTTGCAAAAGCACCACAAGCTACATCTAAGATGCTACAGAAGTTAGCATGTTAAATGCTTAAGTTCATGACAGTAGAATCAGAAAAACATTGAACAAGTATGGCTTGTTTAGAAGCTATACAAGGAAAAAGCCTCTCGTCGCTAAGAAAAGCACATGGTAGAACAGCTTAGGTTTGCAAAGCTGCATCAAAGGGATAAAACCATAAGACAGATAATGGTCATAATGCTGTGAGTTATGTACTGATAGGCTGTTTGGTTTTCTCCAAACAACTCATAAGGACTGTCACCAAGCTAGAATAATGTTCCCAAAGTGAGGAGCTGTTATTCTAAAGGATGTTTTCATCTTTGGGACACAAATTCTCCCCTTAGAATATTCTCCAATTTTATGCTGCCATCAATTCAAAGAGTACCACAGGCACCTCTGACACAATGCTATCTTACATACAAAGCACTCCATTGATTGCAGCAGTGTTCTAAACCTGCACAATTAATGTTTTGGCAAAAGAGCGCAACAACATTCAAAAGGGCAATGGTATATTTACATATATAAAAATATATTTATTTACAATATATTTATTGTAGAGTCCTAATTTCCACTGCTATGCAGACGATCAGCTCAGTGATCCTACGCCCGAGGTCCTTTCATCAGGCCCAAAAAAGGATTTTTTTTTTTATATATATATTTTATTTTAAAAAGACCACAAAAAAATGTCATCCATGCTTTCACATCTTCATGTTTGGACTGCTATATTTCCTGCTTTCAGTGGCTGTAGCCTAGGAGCTAGAGCAGGTCAGCTACTAATCAGAGGGTTGGTGGTTTGATCCCCGACTGCTCCAGTCTGCATGCAAAATATCCTTGGGCAAGGTACTAAGCCCAAGTTGCTCTCCGATACATCCACTGGAATATCAGTGTTAGAAAGTGCTTGAGCATAGAAAAAAGTGCTTGCGTGAATGAGTGAACGAGGCTATAAAGTGCTTCGAGTGCCCATGCCACTCTAAGTGGTTCACCAGCCACCTGGTGGATGTTAAGAGGTTTACACCAGAAATAGTTGCTCATTTGCACAATCAGCTTGGTAATAACAGGTATCGAAAAAGTTTAACTTTCTGTTACAAACACAGCTGTATGCCAACCTAGACCTTGCTGCTTCTTCATATCAATTGTATTTACAAAATGTGCAACTCTATAAAAGCACACCAAATATGACCTGGGGTTGAAGTTAAAGGTACATGTAAACATAATGAAGAGTTGTCTGTGAAGGTTCTCAGTCATCCAGGTCATTGTAGTCTAAGGAGCTTGGAAAGAAAAGCGTCTGAACTTCTTTAAGTTGCTTGAAGACGTTTCACCTCTCATCAGAGAAGCTTCTTCCGTTCTAAGGGTCAAAAGGTGGAGAGTTTAAATCCAGTGGGAGTTTCCCCCCAAAGAGGGACAAAGGACCCCCTGATGATCCTCTACCTAATCACATGAGCCAAGGTGTGAACACGGGTGTGGGTCACAATCAGCCAGGGTTTCGGTTGAGCTCATTGTGAAACCTGGCTCCACCCTATCATGTGATTTCCTGAGTTCTGGAAATCTGAAACAGGAGTTAAGAGTCAGAACTGTAGAACTGAAGAACTGTAAGAATAAAAAATGACCTTTATACAAACAGTGGAAGATGGTAAAGCGTTTTAGAAGACCTGATACAGTTTTATTGTAGCTCAAAGATAAAGATCGATGACTTGAAATCGGTCAAAATGTCAAAGAATGAGCTTTGTAAGGGGTAATGTCAGTTGGACTGACACAGTCAAAAACAGCAGTTGACACATTAGTTAAAGGAACTTCAAACCAACACAGAAATATGTTTTTCTCTTTAAACTTTTTATTTCAAAAACAATCCAACTCTTTGTTTAACGCTGTACAAAAAGTAATCAAAGAACTGTGCAAATTATTGGTAAACTGATTAGTTCAATAAAATAATCATCACAGTGTACGTAGGACTACAGCGTGGAATCATGCAGTAATAAGGAGGGAAAAGTGACAAATAATAATTGCATGTAAGGTCTGGCAGATTTAATTTTTTTAAAGAAACTAAACTAAAATGACACAAATTAAGAAGTTCAACAAATACATAAACCTCCAATAAAAAGTAATGAGAAAGTTACATTTACAATAATGCCAGCAGAAAAGATGACTTTAAAACAAATGTTCAGAGAACATCATGCTAACATGCATTTTCCACATGAAGCCATAGCCTCCTATTTAGTTGCTGTGTATTAATGATTTTAGACAAAAACCTGAGTGGAGTTAAGCTATTGATCATGTATACTGAACCTGGAAAGGTTCAGAACTCTTCGGCTCAAGAGTTAAACCAGCAGGATGCTTTCATTGTGAAAAAATTAAAGAAAGTGTTGCATGCTTCAGTAATGCAGTGATACAGTGGAGAAAAAAACTGCACTAACCCATCTTATGTTGGCCGTTAATCTGGCCCATAGGGGAAAAACAGCATACAGCACTAATTTAATGATGTCGATGACAACTTTACATTTGCTGGCAAGAAGTAATAGAAAAAGAACTCGTCCAATTTCTTCTTCATGATCTTGATAATGACGTTGTCACGGTATATACGCTGAACCAGCATGTCTTCTCTGGACAACACCAACAGATCACACCATGATGTCCCTGTAACCATCATCTCTCCCTGGATGTGCCAATAGTACGGGTGATTCTTATTCAACTGTAAGACTCCATTGCGACAGATCAGGAAAGCGCAATCAATGAAGCTCCGAAACTTGACGCATTTAGCATGTACCAGTCCAAAACTGTTGGTCTCATTGGAATCGTATACCAACCCATCAGGGTTCGCCCCCAGCCACGGAGCATTCGGATGAACGACAAAACCACAGGGGTACCAGTTGACGCACATTTGCCGACAATATTGCTGGAAAGCTTCATTTTTTATTTCCTCCTCTATCTGTGCTGCTTTGCTCAGAGAAAATCCTTTCTGAATCTTAAATATCAGATGCTCGATATTGCTTTGTCCTGATTTGAGTTTGCAGATCTCTCTGAAACGGCTGGTCAAGCGCAGCTTCTGCAGTTTCTTTATGTTCTCCCTACAGCCACGAGTGGATTGCTCCAGAGTGTGTGCTTCTTCCCAGGTGACCTGCATGGCATTTACATGTTCCTGCTCCTTGGCGCTAAGTGTAGGAATGGCAGACACTGATTCCAGTTCATGGTGAGATAGAGGAAGCGGCAGCCGAGAGGGAGCATCACTGTTTATCGTATAACCCTGAGTTGATGGCACAGGGCACTGGTAGGATAGGAGGGAACCTTTGGGAACTTTACCAGAAGCACAGTCCACCCATTCCACATCTGTTGTGAGGCCCATTTTGGTTATCAAAGGCTTCTGGTCATCAGGAAAGTCCCTGTACGCTTCTTTGAGCCTTTCAATAAACGACTGGCATTCAGATGGGACAACAGTGGTGAATTTCATGGGCGTCAACCTGTATGACACACATAATTATTATCATCATTATTATTATTAATATTATTATTTTTAGCAAGTTGGGAGGGTGATTATTGAGGTTCTTGCCATTCTTACCTTGGAAATTCTAGCATGGTTTTCTGCAGGGGGCACGATAGCTTCTTCCAAAGAGTTTCACCCAAGGAAAGAAAGAGAAAAGTCCATTTTAATTGTTACAAAAATACAAACAAAAGACAAATAAAAGCATCTAAAAGCATAAATAGTCATTTCTGCACATATTTGCAGATGACACCATTATGGAATCATGTATTTTGAGAAAAAGGATTGGCCAACTAACCCTGCACTTTGGTGTAATGACAAATTTTTCTCTAAACTTGTGTTTTGAACTTTACCTTCAAAATGAGTGCCACTTATAGCTGTAAGCAAAGTCAGCATCAAGTTATCAAGTCATTGAATCATCAAGTTATTGAATAGATTAACCATTTATCTGGACAAAAAAGTAATTCCAAATGCTGTTTTGCAGTACAAAAGACTCCTTACACACATTTTTACTAACCATCAGACTTGTACAATTTTTATTTATAAAACTTCTGAAGCACCAGAAACTCAGAATGCACTCGCCCGCATTTCATCAATAGAGGCTGTTCATTTTTGAAACTTAAGGCCAATTCATCGGTCAATATCCTAGATCACTTATGGCAGTTAATTCAGCAGTAATTATTAAAATGGGAAACGAAAGGTTCTCACAGTTCCCGTAGAACAGGAATGGGATTTAATCGAACAAACTTGATCGCTGAATCATCAAATGTTTTGGGAACAACAGTGATTGTATCACTACCGATTCAAACTAGCTGTAAGGATGTTTGTAAGGACTTCAGAGCATTACTCAGGCTTAATTTCACATCATATCTTGAATAAGCATGCATCAATAAATTCCGGATGGTGGTGTTAAGCTGCATGTGCACTTGAAACAATTATTTAATAAGTAGCGCTCTACTTTCAAGTCAAACCCATTAAGACTACTAAGAATGCAAACATTTTTTAAAAAATCCAATTCTTCAAAAGCTAATTCACTGACACTTTTTATTTCCATGAATTTGAGATGTCTCTTGCCCTAAGTGAACTAAAGAAATGACAGCTAAGGGAAACTGGAAGTCAGCACAAAATGTGGATGGCCAATAAAACTTTCAGACGATGTAAATGCTGAGCAGACAAGCAAAGTAAAGCCTCCATAAAGCAAAAGACCCGCTGAAAGGTTTAGCTGACAGGGAGCTAGTGATGCAACATTTCACTGTAAAGCACTGATGCGCAAACAGAGTCTAAAGGTAAAATTTGCATGGCACATTCTCTCAAAACTCAATGTCTGAGGTATGCAAAGCAACATGTCATACTGTAAACAAGTGGCATGGACAGATAAAGTTGAGTTAAAGGTTTACGAGATAAAAGGAGCAGCATTTGATGAAAGAATGCCTTGGCAGTCGCTAAACATTGGAGTGGCAATATTCTTCTTTGGGGTTGTGCAGCAGTAACAGCAAAAGCACAGAGAGGCTTTCACTACATAGTAACAAAATCTCATTGGACAGCAGCCCTCAACCATCAGCTACTCAAAGAAACACAAGCTTAAGCATTTTTGATGGCACTTAAATTCATCTGCCTTAGTAATGCTGTGTAAGCAAAACAGCCTAAAAACGTCAGAACGTAAAGTAATCTGCACAGAAAAGTGGCTGAAAATACACAAGTTAGGATGAGAAAGACTATGGCTACGTTCAGACTACAGGTGAAAGCACATCAAATCCAACTTTTCTGACCCTATGCGACCCATATCCGATCATGGTACGACAGTGTGAACAGCACAAATCCGATACGCCAATTATCAGCGCCGGAGAAGCGCCCAAGAAGACATTGTGAATGCTTCCTGGCCATCCAGTGTAGATGTTAGTGAAACTGTTGGGAAGACAGCGTTGGAGAAACGTGAACATTTTATTTGTACTGTATAATCTGCAGATTCTGACAGAAATTTGCAACTATCCTTTGAAGCACCGCTCCTCTGTAAAACACCAATAAGGATAATAATAATGGTTTGGATTTATACAGCGCTTTTCAAGGCACCCAAAGCGCTTTACAATGCCACTATTCATTCACTCTCACATTCACAACTGGTGGAAGCAAGCTACGGGGCAAGCTGGGGTAGACTGACAGAAGCGAGGCTGCCATATCGCGCCATCGGCCCCTCTGGCCAACACCAGTAGGCGGTAGGGTAAAGTGTCTTGCCCAAGGACACAACGACCAGGACAGAGATCCCGGGGATCGAACCAGCGACCTTCCGGTTACAGATACGCTTTCCCACCCCCCTCAGCCATGGTTGCCCCCCCAGATAGTAGTAGTAGTAGTATAGTAGTTATTAGGCTATATGTAAATAACAAAATAACTTTATAACTTAAAGCAAAATTGGGAAACGTAAAGTGTGAAACAAGTCTTTATATTAAGGGCCATCAGTCAAACAATATTGTTTGCTCTGGGTCTAAACAGAGCACGTTGTGTGTGACGTCTTCTTTTGCGCATGCAGATCGCTTTGAAGGTTCACACTAGAGCGCGTTTACTGTCACATTTTATATGTAGTGTGAACAAGCAGACAAAAAAATTGGATTTGATCAAAAAAATCGGAATTGAGCATTAAGACCTGCAGATCTCTAGGAACTCCCAGGTTGCTGATGTGTTGTCAATCTAATAAGTTGTAATCATTGATTTCTGTTTTTGTTTACTTATTTTATTGAGTGTCTGTCTTTAGGGGGGAAGTGGTTGTAGTTCCAGAACTATTGGCTATTCAGCATCAAAAAATAAAAGGAAAAAAGAAATCCCAATAAAATAAACATTTAGACAATTGTCTGCTTTTGGTGCACGTTTACTGAAAGGTGTATGTGGGACCTTGGAAAGTTAGGAATAGCATTTTGGATTCTCAGCAAAGTTATTTTAGATTTAAGAAGCCAAAACTTACTTTTGTGTTTGAAGTTTCTAAACCTTTTTTAAATATGTGGCTCTCACTTGTCCCTTCTTCAATCTGGCAATCTGCTTCTGACTCATCTGAGGTACAGTCTCCATCTTCAGTTGCTTCATCAGTTGAGCTATTAGCTGAAGCCTCAACTCTGGTACCTGCCACATGAATCTGGTTTGTGTCAGTGATGTCTTCTTCTTCCTCTTCTTTTGATCCGTTTTCAAAACAGTCTGATGTAAAATCGTTGTTGGCTTGTTGACTTATGTCACACTCAATATGCTCTTCTTTAACACAGACTGGTGTAATGAAGTTGTCAGCTTCAGTCAGCACTTGTCGCTGATCCCAACTTAAGTCATATTCTATTTGCCCTGCTTTAGCTATCGCAGTGAGGCCCTCTGATATTTCAAGGTCCACCCTGGTGTTAGGCTCTGAGGGCTGTTCTCCAGCGTAGTTATTAACATCTGTCATAGGAAATAGAAAAAAAAAACATTATTGAATACATTACATAGTAATCATATGTTTTGCTTTAGTTTGAGTCATGGTACTTGCCCCTTAACCTGAGATTCTTTTAACATGTCAACGTGGACGTGTCAGTGAACAAATAAGAAATGGAAACAGTTTATCTCAACTATCCTTAGACTCCTACCATGTTGGGGGGAAGAGAGAGAGAATCAATAGTCACCATGCAGAACAGCTGCTATTGAGTTATTCACAATCACCAGCCACTCAGTTAGGTACACCTGATCAAAAGTTCTTCAACACAAGAGTGTCGGTATGCAGAAGAGTGTCTGTAAGCGCACAAGACATCAAACCCTGAAGCAGATGAAGTAAAGCAGCAGAAGACCACACTAGATGCAACTCTAATCAGTCAATAATAGGAAACTGAGGCTAGCCAACAGTGGACAACAGAAGACAGGAAAAATGTATTTTTCTGTTCCAACATCCAAATACAAATCGTGCTTTGTACTAGGGCTGCCACGATTAGTCAACTAGTCACTTCAGAGACATCAGTTCCCCATTCCCCACCAGCTCGATAGCTTGGGGGGGGGGGGGGTCAAGGCTGCCGGTGAGTAAACCGGACATCCGGCAAATCATTTTCAAACCCACCGCCATCTTTCGCTACTCAGGTTAAACATGATATATAAGTCACTTAGATAACTTAAAAATGTTATTTTTTTGGCTTTTTTTCAGAGATTAAAGTTATAGTTTTTACACCGCTGAATAAACATCAAGCAGACAGCTGATTATCAGAAGTGTGAGATGCTCGAGAATATACTCCGGTGTCCTGTTATATTTTAGATGGCAAGGAGTTTATTAAACTTCACCGAAACAATCTGCAAATTTCATTAAAATTTAATAGACTATCATCTTGTCTTTATTTTTAGTTAGCACATCTACTAACACACCTCTAAAGTTACTACATCTCAGTCGAGCAGAACATTTTTGAGATGCGGTGGGAGGGGGAAAGTGGATGTGCAGCAGACAACAGCAACTGTGTGATGCTATCGTATTTTTGTGGATCAATATCTCCAGCACTTGACTGAATCCGTGCCATGAAGAATTAAAGCAGTTCTGTTAAGGTTAAATGGGGTCCTACCTGGTACTGGTCATTTTGTATGTGTTAGACTGATGGGTTACTACCTATGAAACATGTCCGCAGTAGTTTAGTGGTAAAGGCCAATCGAGGTGAAGTTAATTTTAACAGCTTTATAATGTGAGGGGGCCCTTTAGTATTAGTCTTAACTAACTAAAGCATTAAATTACGCAACCATCACACACACGTCCTACAGTATTTACACACGGTGTCACATTAAGCTTGCAATGCTTTAATTTAACAATTCCTCTTCAAGTGTAGCTAATACAGGTCAGTCAACTGGAAACGCAAGGATCCAAAAGCAACAAACCTATCCTGTGTAACTTTATCTCGGGGTTGAGGACCATGTGCAGAATGTCCCGCAGGCGCTTGTTTTCCTCACAGCACTCCACAACGATACTTTCAACTTCACCAAACACCTCCATGGCCACGGCGGTGAAGCGTTCAGTCAAAAAGCTCCGAAAGCCCTGGAGTCTAACGCTCGACATTTTGGACTATTATTATCTACACAACGCCTGAGTTCATCCGCGTGAACACGCTCAAACAAAAGAAAACAAACGGAATTTCACAAAGGCGACTTCCTGTAGAAAAAGTCTTCTTCGGTGGATTTCGTGGGTCACATTAGCGCCCTCTTCTGACAGCGCGCAATCTACAAGGATTATTAGAAGTACAGATTATAAAGATTAAAGAGGAAATAAAATTTTGAGATTACGGTCGAAATTTTAAGATTAAAGTCGAAATAATATTTTGAAAAAAAGTTGCAATTTTGAGATTACAGTCGAAATGTTATTTTAAGAAATTTTAAGATTGAAGTCAAAATAATAATTTGAGAAAAAAAAGTTGAAATGTTTCGGTTCTTGACAATGACACGCCTTCCTGCTCAAAGGTGTTCTTCAATGGACTAAATGTTCTAAAGGGTTTTCCTTATATAAAGCTCAGTGCATTCCTTCTTTTTAAGAGTGTTGCCAGATTGTTGATTTTGTCACTCCAAAAAAATGTATGCTTTGTCTGATCAGTTTATTTTGGCTTTTTGTTATCCCAATGATGACACCCCATTACTTACATCAACATATCTGTAGACGACATACTGACAGTTCCAGTGAAAAGATCAAAATGCAAGTCCAGCACTTGGAATCGACCCCTGAGCTTTTATCTGTTATGTTGCTCACTAAATAATGAAGCCTGGCTTTTATGAAACTGGTTGTCAGTATTGATCGATTAGTTTAGGGCCTTCGAGTTTCAATGCATATTTTCCAAAGCAGAGAATTTGTTAAAATGTAGGAGACCTTTAAAGCAGGCCTGTTTTTATCCCTTCACACTACTGGCTAAAGATGGTGCTAATCCACAACGTCGTTCCCTTAAATAAATAACTTTGAATGAGTAGAAGAAGAAAAAGAAGCAGCAAGGGGCAGGCAGCTGGTGACAGCCGAAGTGTACCGTTCCCCCACCCCCCTCAGCACTCTGTTAACTGGATCAAACGGAGAAATTGCCGGACAGCTCGATGGAAATACAATAGTAACGTTTGCTGATAGTCGGCGATTACATTTTATAACTTTGAGCGGATAGGACTAGCGTTTGTAGGCGAGTCCAAGTAGTGTTATCGTTGTTGCTTGTGGCAAACTGAGTTAACACTGTTGCTTCGAGTTTTAGCATAGGTAACGTTACCGTTAGCTGTCTAGCAAGCAAAAGCTAAATAACTTCAGTGTTTACGGTCCCATCGGATTGCCAGCTTCGACAGTCTGCCAGGTTATCGCCAAAGCCGTCAGGTTGTCGGCTACTCGGTAAAGATGGGTGACATAAACCCATCGACATCCCATGCATTTCAGTCGGAGGTGAGTGTTTTATATAATTGTTTGACAGTGAGTAGTTTGCAGTCACGGCTAGCGACGTTAGCAAATGTCAACTTATTTGAGGTTGTCACTGTGACTAGCAGCTGCTGATTAGTTAGCGTTAGCTTGTTGCTGCTAATGTTGACATATAATATTAGCCAGTGGAAAAATTTGACAAGTTATACACACCAAACATTCCCGCAGTATTAGAACAAGCTGTCAGCTTTCTATAAATAAAACTTTACATGTCGCATGAAAATGAGTCATTAATGCCACTTTAAATGGTACTTCACGAAACCTGCGAGTTAGCCTTACTGTATGCTTCATGGAGAATAAAACATTCCATCATCATTACGGAGCATGCTAACATTAAAGCTAGCTGACTAACCATCATATTCACGCCATCTGGATTTTTCGCAATGTAACAGCTGGCGGACAATGATGCTTTTGTTGCACTTTGTTATTCCTTGATAGTCTGTAATATGTATTACCGCGCGGCTTCGTTGTTTTGTCCGTTAATTGAACTATAGTGACACTAGCTGGTTAGCAGTAGCTAGTGAGTTATTTGCGGTCTACCGCTAGCCGACCAAGCTAACATTAGCTGTCGTTTTTAGTTGGGTTTGTCGGTGGGGGTTGGCAGGAAGGTTCACTTTCATGTCTATAGATAAATATGTGTGTGCGTGGGCGTAGTGAATCAAACTTTTGCCTGTGTTAGTCGCCGTTTCTCCCCTGTTCAGTTCTGCTACGAGTGGCACCGTGTACAATAGAGGATGTGTGGCGATCACTCGTCGTTCATATCAACGCCATATCTGGCAGTGCAGGTTTATTGCAGCTAATGCTTCGGCAACAT